TGGCGGGCGCGGCGCACTCCTAGTTCGACGGTCCACCAACGCGTTCTGTTCCCAATTCGGCGCAAGAGGATTTGCTGGTGCTCATTGTCGGGGGCGCCAACCGTTGCTGAGGACGAATACGCCTCGCGTTGATTGGGGGCTGTGCGTGTCGCGCCCCGGTGGGGGTGACGTCGCGTCGCGCGACGCGGCGCCACTTCGCCCCGTCGCATCGCGCCCCGCACCCCCATGTCGTTTCGCTCCAATCCTCCTGCCCCCCCCTCTTCCTTCCTCTTCCCCTCGTCCAACGCGCTGCGCGTTTTGTCCCGTTTACGAAATTTGTATTCAGTTCTTTTATGTCAGGCTGCCGTCCTGTCCGCCTCCCTACTCGCCCCCCGTTGTCCTTCCACCCTCCTGGAACTTCTTCTCGCCCTCCTCGCTCCCGCCGCCCCCATTTCGATCGCCTTCCATCGCTCCCGCCGCCGCTGCGCCGCCCCCGCGCGCCCCCTCCTCGCCCGTCCGTTCCCATTTCCGCCCGCCCTTCCCTCGCCTCACTTCCATCTTCTTTTCCCCCCCAATGCATCGGCGGGCGAGACGTCGCCAAATTGCTGCAGCGACGGACCGATGTTCAACATCTGACGGGGCGTGCGCTTGAAATGGATTAGTCCGTGCGCGCTGCATCTCCATGTCGTCTCTTGGTCTCCTCGCGTTCGTAGTTCTCACGTGCGTGTCTCGCTATTTCTACGATTGCCGCGCGCATCCCTTGATTGTTTCGCCAGCGGGCCGTGCAGTTCACATGCCGTCAGGAGTCCACGGCGCCCTTCGAGCGATTCGCGCGCGACCTGCGCGCGACGCGCGAACGACCCGAGCGACGCCCGCGCGACGCACGCGCGACGCGCGCGCGACGCGCGCGCGACGCACCCCGACCCGCGCGCGACGCACCCCTGCCAGCGCGCGACGCACGATCGACCCGCGCGACGCACGCGCGACGCACGCGCCACGCGCGCGACGCACGCGCGACGCACGCGCGACGCACGCGCGACGCACGCGCGACGCACGCGCGACGCACGCGCGACGCATGCGCGACGCAGTCGCGACTTTGCCCGCCCCTGACATTTCTCCGAGCAGCGATGCGCAACGGCCGTCGGCCCGCCGTGCTTGCGCTGTTCACAAGTGGCGGCGGCTGCGCCATCCATTGCGCCAGGAAGGGCGGTGCTTGCCCCTGTGATTTCCCTTTTCCTTCCTCGTCGTCCCTCCTCTTTTGTCATTCCTCCTCCTCCTTCGTCCTCTCTCCTGCCTCGCCCCCCTCTCTCCTCCCTTTCTTTTCCTCCTTTCTACCAGCCTCCCTCTGTCAGTGCCTCCCCCCTCCTCTCTCGTCTGTTTTTTTTTTCCCTTGCCACCCCGTGCCCCTCTTCATTCTCTTTTCTCCTTCGGCCCCCCTTCCACGGCCGCGGCGCGTCACCGCGAGCGGCGCCCCCGCCTTCCGCGAACGGCCCCGCCGCTGGCGGTGGAGGAGGAAGATCACGAGGAGAAAAGGAGGGGGGAGGGGCAGGGGCGCGAGGCGGGCGCGGCGGCAAGGGCGGCCCGACAGGTGTAGGGGGCGGGGGGAGGGACGGAGTGGGCGGGTGCTTCTGTAATGGTCATGTTGGTGATCATGGTCGTGGTCGCGTTCGTCGCCTTGGTCGCGTTGGCGGCGGTCGTGCCGCTGGTGGTGGGCGGGCTGGTGGTGGTCACGTCGGTGATCGTGCTGGTGTCGGTCGTTGTGGTGGTCGCGAGAAGCGTGGTGGTCGTGGTGGTGATGATGGCGGTAAATGGTGTTGGTCGTAATCGTCGCGGTGGATGTGGTTGCGGTCGCATCCGTTTGTGGTGATCGTGGCGGCGGTAGTTTTGGCGCTGGCGGCGGTTGCGGCGGCTGTGGCGGCGGCTGGGGGGACCTGCTGGCCTATCGCCGGGCTGCGTTCAGCAGCATCGCTGAATGTGTAATGTTAGTGGGATTTGCAGATCTGCCGAGGTAGCCCAGCTGCCGCCTTCTTCTCGCCAAGAGGGCCGCAGCGTGGGCGACTTTCTTTTTCCCGAAGGCGATCAGCCTTTTTAAGCGGCCGTGGAGAGGGCGACGCGCGTGCGATCCGCCCCGTGGGCGTCCGCCGCGCTGGCGACGCACTCACCAAAGTGCCCCCTTGCGAGGGCGACGTGCGCGTTCGAGAGGGCGGCTGGCCTTTTCGGCGGCCGACGCACGGGCGACGAATGCGCGACGCACCTCCTGTCGCGAAGGGGGGGGGGGTCAGCACGCCGGTCGCTTTACTGGGCCTTAACATCGGCGTCGTTGGAGGAAGGTTGCGGGCCCCACAGGGGCCATCATCAACACTCTCTTGGACCTCCATTGGGATCCCACGGGGCCTCGGGACTGGACTTCGGTCCAACGGGGGCAGTTTTTGGCGACGGAGGAGGTTCTCGAACCAAGCGTTTTCGACAAACGACCTCAAGCATGAGCTAGCCAGTGCAGTCAGGAGGAGGATCTGGAGGAAATCAGCAAGCCACCACGAGAGCGAAGACGTAGCAGCAGGAGTATACCTCGAGGACATACGCAGACAGGTGAAGGTTGCTCGTGCAGCCGAGCAGTACGAGTGGGCAGGTTCTCTGTTAGCAGTTTCCACGGGGGACCAGTGGCCTCGCACCCGCATCAAGCAAGGTTGTCAATTGCCTGATGATTATTCAGAGTTGTGTGATAGATGTGGGGAGGAGAAGGAGAACAACTTTCACAGGATCTGGGGATGCAGATGTAACGAGGAGCTGCCCGCGGTTAAGTCGACCGGCTTTCTATTGCCTCGCGCTTGCACACAGCGCGAGGCCCAGCCGTCCTTATGGCTGCGAGGTGTCGCGCCTGCTGCATGGGCATCAGTTACCACTTCCACCGCGCGAGGAATGCGCCGAGTTTCACGCGCATGGCGAATTTTTAGTCTCCTCAGGCATCATGGTGGAAGCGGGTGATGCGTCTGGCGGGGAGCATGCGTCATCCGACATTTTTCGGCGAGTTGCCTGGGCATGCATTGTGTTCAGGCCGTTCGACATCTCAGGGCTGGGGCCGCAACCTAGAAGTGGCCGGGCAAGTTTCAGGAGCAGTCTGGAACGAGCAGACGATAAATCACGGAGGGTAGTCGGCCTTCCTGAAGTTTTTGGAGGACTCCCCCGAGGGGCCCTTCTTGATCTACGTCGCAGATAGTTCGTAGGTTTTACCAAGGTTGGCAGAACATGCAGCACAGCATGAACCCTGATACGTACAGAAATGAGTGGGAGAGAGTTCGAGCAGCGGTCGATCGTCGGTCGGTCAGCGTCTTGAAGGTTGAATCCCATATGTCTGCTGAAAGAGCCGCTCTGAAGGGCACGCCTGTTTTCGCATGCGTAGGGAACTATTTAGCGGAGTAACTAGCAGACGATGTAGTAGGTAGCTATCAGTTATCCCCAGGTGAGGTGGAAGCCGTGGAGCTCGGCCTCGCCCTCTCCAAGAGCATAAGGAACCGAGCCACCGACGTTTTCCTCCGTAGATATGCCGAGCAGTCTCAGACCGTTGGTCCCAGGATCCCTCGACGGCTTCGACCGAAGCCGAAGCCGAGGCCCAAGGCCCCTGGTCCAAAGCTGAACCTCGGCCCAAAGATGGCCAAGCTCATGGCCGACAGCGCCCATGAGATGCATCCAGTAGAAGCAGGTACTAGATTTCAATGCATCAAGTGTCTGTCGGTGGTCTCGATTAATTCGCACGGGGCAAAGGCCTCACAAGAGTTTCTGGGAACCCCCTGTGTGCCAGCCGAGCCTTGGTCGGGACTTGTCCACGGCGTGAAATCTGTGCGCGGTGCCTTCGTCGGGGCCTCTTTTGTGCACCCGGCTCACGAGATGGTGGTCACACAGAGAGGGGCTTTCTTGTGCTTGAATTGTGGGTCCCACGCCACCCGCAGCAGTCAAAACTTGTTGAGGGAGTGCCAGCCGCGCACTCCCGCGGTCCAGAATTTTTGTGGAAAAGAAATTCATGAAAGGCCTAGTTTGAGGCCCACTTCCCATCCCTCCCACAACGGGAGGTCGCTGCTTTTTGAAACAGACCACTGGTCATCTGAGCGTCCTCCTCCTCCTCGTCCTCCTCCTCCTCCTCCTTCCTCCTCCTCCTCCCCCTACTCCCCCTCCTCCACCGCCTCCTCCTCCCTTCCTCCTCCTCCTCCTCCTCCCTTCCTCCTCCTCCTCCTCCTCCTCCTCCTCCTCCTGCTCCTCCTCCTCCTCCTCCTCCTCCTTCTGCCTGGGCCACCAGGGAGAATTTCGAGCACCAAGAAAGCACCGAGACCGGAGGGTTTCGCGTGTCGGGCCCTCGGAGGCGATGGAGTCGTTCGACATTCTTTCGTCACTTTTCCAGGAGCGCGAAACTATTTTTGGGATGTGGTCCAAGTATGTTGGGAACAACATAAGCTAAGGGTACCCTTGCATCCTTGCCTCCTCGGCCTATTCTTGGCCACTCTCGTCGGCCGCGCCCTGCTCGAGAGGCGTCGACAGGGGCGTCCAGAGGCTCATCGCACATCCTTATGATACGGGCCGACTGTGTTGTCAGAAATCAGGGCTGGCCTCCTCAGAAGTCGGCGGCGCACGAGGGGGGAAGTGAAAAGGAGGAGTCGGGAGAGGCTTTCTCAGAAGGCGACGGGGCTCCTCAGATGCCCTTTGGCCCTCTGAGAAGCTTTCAGCGTCCTCGGGGAAGGCTGAGAAGACCTTCTCCGAAGGCCAGGGGGCGTCCGGGCGTTTTCAAAAGGCCCCGCGCCGCCTATGGAAGGCTGCCCCCCCACTCCCCCCGCTCTGCGATGGTTATTCGCCGCGGTGATGCTCAGCCGCCGGAAGCACTCCATGGTGGTTGCGACGCGAGTCCGCCCAGGGCCCCTTGGCCATGCCCTCCTGGGCACGGGCTGGCTCCCCGACGGGGCGCGCACGACCCGCGCGCTCTCGCCTTGCTCCGCCCTTCGCTCCTCGCCTCGCCCCCGTGCGCGCCCTGCCAGGAGGATCGGCCGCAGGCCCCCGCGTGGCAGCCGATGCTCAGAGCTGCCGGCGCGCCGGGGGCCAAGAAGAGCTTGTACGACCTGCAGACGGATCGGCTCAAGGCCCCCGGCGGCGGTGGAGGGTTTCCCCGAAGGGCTTCGGCGACCCGCCCTCCTCCTTCTCCTCCTCCTCCTCCATTCCTGCTTCTTCTAGATAACTCCTCCCTGTCGCACCCCGAGGCCGGTTTTTAGGTCGGGCCGGGCGTTTCGCCCGAGACTTCCTCACCATGTACGATTCTGGAGCTTGAAAAGTGATAACAGTTTCACAGATGGAGGGCTTGCTCGTTTTCAAACTTCAAAACTTTGCAAGATTTCCACGGATTGAGGGCGGATGGTTTTCAAAATGTGGCTGTCGCCTTAGCGCCGCGCACATTCATTGTAAGAAATTGCAAGAGTTTCGCGGATTGACGGCGGGTTGTTTTCAAACTGTGGCTCTCGCCTTAGCGCCGCGCACATTCGTTTTGAGAAATTGCAAGAGTGTCGCGGATTGACGGCGGGTCGTTTTCAAAATGTGGTTCTCGCCGTAGAGCCGCGCACATTCGCTTTCAACACTTGCAAGAGTTTCGCGGATTGAAAGCGGTTCCTTCTCAACATGTGGCTATCGCCTTAGCGCCGCGCGCAATCTTTTTCAAATTTTGGAGGGCAGGTTGTTTTCAAAATGTGGCTGTCGTTTTAGCGCCGCGCACGTTCGTTTAAACAATTGCAAGAGTTTCACGGGTTTCCATGATCAGCGTACCAGAAATGGTGTTTTCGAAGGATTCAGGATTCTGCGGGTGCAGCGGTTATGTTGATTCGCGGTGTTGAAATCCCAGAAAGGGCGCTCTGGCACGATTCCGGATCGTCAAGTCGCAGCAGTCAGGTTGATACGTTGCGTTGAATTCCCGAGAACAAGGTTTTGGCATGCTTCAGGATCTTCAAACGGTTGTCTTCCAACGAGGCAGTTCCCTCAATGAAAATGAACCGTTGTGGGGGCCTATGAAGAGGGAGCTTGGAGGGAGGGCTAGGGTTCAGGAGGGAAAGAAACACGCAGACACAATGAATCGTCGATTCCCCAGAAAATAGGGGAAACATATGGGAAGTGGGGGGGAAGGCAAAAACCAGAAAACATGGGAAAACATGGGGAGTCCTGTTGTTTGTGTATACTTATTTGTGTGTCCCAGGGCCCCTTCAAAGGTGGCGCGCTCTGGGGGGCCCCCTCGGCCGTGGCCTCCCCCGCGGCCAGCGGTGCCACGGGGGGCCTCGCCGAGCCCCAGGACTCGAGCAGTGGCGCAGCGTCCTGGCCGCACTGCAGTCAAGAACCCTAAGAAGGACGCGCGGTAAGGACGCAGGACCCTTGGATCGGGCTGGGCGAAAGGGGGGGGATTGGGAAAGGCGGGGTTACGAAATTTGCTGCATGCAGCTGGTTTCGGCCTCACCGAGGGGCCCATTCCTCGATGCATAGCCGCGGGAAAATCAGCTACGTGAGCTGATTCTCACCCCCCCCCCTTTGCTATCCCCCCGATAGGAAGCCGAAGTTGGGACTTTTGGGGCGGCGGACGACGAAAACCCCAAGGACGCCAGGGTACCCTGAGCAAAGTCGCGCGTCCTTGCTAGGGTTTTCACTGTCTTGGTTCACCGAAGAGTGTTCTAAGATCCTTGTCGTGGTCTGCACGAAATGCTCTGAAGTAGGACATCTCAGGCTGAGACGGTCTTGTTTTGACACATCGTGTGTTTGTCCTCAGAGCATGGTGTTTATCATGAGAACATTTCCGGGTTCTTAGAATATGTCGTGGTGGGCCTATTGGAATGCCGGGACGGTCGGTCCCTGCTCGAACCAGGACATCCCCACCCACCAAGCCAACCCAATCCGAAGGTCCCAATCGGCCCTCGCTTCCCAGTTGGGGGGGAGGAGCCTCGGGGAACCTTGAGAAAAACACGCGTGAATCAGGAGGGAACAAAAACACACAGACACAAGTAATCGTCGATTCCCAGGAAAATATGGGAAAATATGGGCTGTGGGGGGGAAGACAGAAACCCAGAACATATGGGAAGATATGGGGAATCCTTTTATTTGTATGTATTTATTTGTGTGCCCCAGGGCCCCTTCAGTGAAGCCCGCACCCACCCCCTCCAACCCGCAATGTGGGTCTTCGGGTTAGGTTGGGGTGGTCTGGCAGGTGGTTGGGACAGTCGCCAAGACGTCTCAGGACGAAAAGCGGGTTCCGGGGAGCGGGTCGAGGCTTCCGGGTGTCCACGCTGCGAAACGATCATGAGTTCGGGGGTTTGGGGGATAGCCTTGGGGGGAGCCCCGCATGCTCGGCGGCAAGCGAGGGGGGAAGTGAACGGGAGGAGACCTTCCCAGAATGCGGCGGGACTTCTCGGAGAAGCCGTCTCTTTCATCGGGGAAGGCCGACCCAAAAAGCAACGTCTCAAGAGGCTGGGGGCCTTCCCAGCCTTCTGGGGAGGCCCGCCCCTCCTCGCTTCCCCCGGGCTCGCCGCCGCACGCGCTCGGAGGGGTCGCACATCAGGACTCCGCAGGCTCTCTTCAGGCAGCCCCAGTCGTTCTCGTCTCGCTCCGCGGGCTGCGCGCCCCGGCTCGCCGCGGGCGTCGCGAGACCGCTGCGTCCCGGGTGCCCTGGGCTTCCTGAAGGGACCCCAGGACACACAAACAAATACACACAAATAAACATACTCCCCATATTTTCCCATATTTTCTAGGTTTCTGTCTTCCCCCCCACTCTTCCATATTTTCCCATATTTTCTGGGAATCGCCGATTAATTGTGTCTGTGTATTTCTTTCCCTCCTGGCTTCCCCTCCGCTGCACCTCGCGCAAGGACTTCCAGGGTGGGGGTTTCCTGGCAGCCGCGGCCGCACCGTACATCCATGGGCTCCGATGGCCCATGTCTTCGCCGAGCCCGCCTGGCGAGCACGTGGACCTCCCGCCCCCCCAGAGATCAGATTTTCTGTTTTTTCGATGCCGTCGGACCGAGGTATCAGATCGAGGTGGGTTCGGGGAGGGTGCCCTGCTGTTTTTCGTGCTTGTTGGATGTTCTGGTGCATCCTGGGGAGGGTGCCCTTGGATGTTCTGTTTGGTTTGGCCGACGGAGGGTCTCATTTTCCTGATCGGCGGCGAGCGAGGAGGGGGAATGAGAAGGAGAAGGCCTTCTCAGAAGGCGGCGGGGCTCTTCAGAAGCCTCGCGCCTTCGGAATAGTTGTTCCCTGTCTTCGGTGAGGGCTCAGCAAACATCTCAGAAGGCCTGGGGACTTCCGAACCTTCTGAGAAGGCCTTCTCCATCTCGCTTCCCCCCCTCGCTCGCTGCCGACTTGAGGGATGTTCTCCTGGCCCAGGTCCAACCGTATGGGATCCCTGGAAGAGCTCCTCGTTGCCGCCTCGGGATTCTGGCAAAGATGTGCTCCATAAGGGGACTGGGGGTCGATGAATGTAGCTCCTCCTCCTCCTCCTCCTCCTCCTCCTCCCGTTTTTATGATATGTGGCCAAAATTGTGTTATCTTTCCCTGGGACCAGCTTCTCATCCCGAATCGTTGTTCTTTGACAGTGCCAGGGGCGGCGCGGCCCCCCAAAAGGCTCCAGACGGCGAAGCAGATCCGTCCCGATGTCTGCCCATGAGCACACTGAGTTCAGCATCGGCGCTGGTAGATCCGTGGTCACAAGCTGGCCTACTCTGAAATCATCCCGATTCACCCGGCTCAGTCCTGCTTGCTCCAGCTTAATCAGGCTTCACTCTTGAGCTTCAGCTGAGCTGATGTCCGGCGTACTGGCCCCCTTGTGGGGCGCATCGCCCGTACAAGCCACGACCGCTCCCTCGATCCTGCGAGAAGACCTCCCAGGAGCTGCCCCTTACCGGGCCGGGCACCCCTGCCTGGGTGCTCGATCCTGCACCCCCGTCGCCAGCCGCAACCGCCCCGCCTTCCGCGGCGCGCCGGCCGCAGGACGCCGCCCCGAGGCCCGCCGGGCACCGACGCGTGCCGTGCCGGGGCGACGGTCGGCGAACCGCCGAGGTGGCCGCCGAGGTGGCCGCCGCAGGGCGCCGCGCCGGCAGACCGCCGAAGACTGCCGACGACCGCCCAGGGCTGGTGGACAAGGAGGGTCGGCGGCGAGCGAGGGGGGGGGGGCAGCGAGGAGGGCATTCTCGTGGTCTCGTGGCCGCCTCGGCAGTGCTCCGCCCTCGGGAGGCGTGCCGGCGGCGGCGCGCCTCGCCGAGAGCGCCCTTGGGGGATGCCTGGATCTTCCGGGAGAGCGGCCGCTGGAGGCCCGGAGTGGTGACCCCGGAAGCTGAACTCGGCGGCGCGCCCAGGGGGGAGCGAGAAGCAGAGGGCTTCCTCAGAGGGCGGAGGTGGTTTCCAGAAGCCCTCTGGCCTTCGAGAGGGTCCTTCCTGTGTCTTCGGGGAGGCGGCTCAGCCCCGCTTCTGGGAAGGCCCGGGGACCTCCGAGCCTTCTGAGAACCCACTGCGTAAGAGCACCTGTTCGCGGGAGTGACCTTTGGGTGCGGGCCCACTCGGGCCCCCCGATCGCCGATCGCCGATGCGGCAGCAGCGCCTTGCGCGCTCGTGCTTGGCCCCCGAAGAGTCGCGCGCCACGGGTCGCTCTCGCCCGGGGCCACCTCTTGCGTGGAGTCGAGAGAAGGCCCGTCCCTTCTCTCGCCTCCCCCCGGCCTTGCCGCCGAGAGGGGCCCCTCTTTGAGCATACGTGCCGTGGGCCTCCGCCGACACCCGAGGCCGCGCTCGGCCCTTCGCCGGCCGCGAGCACCGCTGGCGCGGGCGCGCCGCCGTCGCAGGACTTCCACAAGGGGGGCGGCAAGGGCCGCGTGGGGGGCAGCTGAGGCTCCGGGCCTCGTGGAACCGATCCTGCCATCCCCACTGGCGTGGCCCTGGCCCCACGCGCCGAAGGAGAAGACAGGGCCGGAGCGCCATGAGGGCAGCGGGTCCTGAGGGAAACGGGGTCCTGGGTTGTTCGCCGGTTTCGGGCTCTCGGGGCCTCCGCGTGCCCCCAGGGCCGTCCAGAAAACGAGTCATGATGAAAACGTCTTCTTGGGGGAAGTTCCCAGAGTCATGGACTCGTTTCCCAGAGGGCCCGTGTCTCCCCCATGCTAAAAGAAGCCGTATCCACACACACATTGTCGGCGGTCTGCGCGGATTTTTTGCATCGGCGCTGACGCCCCTTGGGCGGCGCCTCTGGCGCCGCCCCTGGCGCGCTCCGTGCGCCAGGGAGGGGGTGGCCGGCCCCAGTCCAAGAAACGCGCGCGTACCTCTAACAGTTTATGCTTATGCCGCTCTGCATGTCTCTACACTGGCCTGCTTGTCCACTTAGGCGGGCATGTATTGCCCTGGGCCCGGCCCCCCCTTTGAGTGAATGCTGCTCATGAAGAGACCAGTGGGTCCCCCCCCTATCGGTGTGGCGCGGTGCTGCGCTGCCCCTGGGTGTGGTTTTGTGTTGTGGAGGGTGTCTCCGAAGGGCTTAGGTGACCCGTCCTCCTCCTCCTCCTCCTCCTCCTCCTCCTCCTCCTCGCCGTCCTCCTCGTCGTCCTCCTCCTCCTCCTCCTCCTCCTCCTCCTCCTCCTCCTCCTCCACCTCCTCCTCCTCCCCTCTTCCTCCCCCCCTCCCCTCCCCTCCCCTCCTCCTCCTCCTCCTCCTCCTCCTCCTCCTCCTCCTCCCCGCCCTCCCCTCCTCGGGTCGCCTACGACCCCGGGGGAAACCGTCCATGGTGTTGTGGTGCTCCAGGGAGCGGGAGGGATGCAACCTTCCAGCTCGCGGGGCCCTGGCCTCCAGGAGAGGTCGAGTCCAGCGCTCGTCCTCGTCCACGTCGTCGCTGTGACCCCCCATCTGGGGAGCCGCGGGCACTCGGACCCATCCCATCTGGGAGGGGCAGGGGCCCGCGGGCTGGAGCCCGGCAGCACTTTCTGTCCTGTCCCTTCGGGGGCTGAGATGCCGCGGCCCCGTGGGGATGGGCATCGGGCATACGGCGCCGAGGTTCGCGCCCGCGGGCCGGCGGCGGCTGAGGCAGGTAGCCCGGGAGGCCTCGCGCCTCCCGACCGCTGGGCGATGGACTTCCGAGCGCCGCTCCGCGCTCTGCGCTGGCTGGCACTCGGCGCCACCCAAACATACTTATACTAGATGTGCGTCGTCCCCCCAGGGGCGACGCGCGCACCGAGAGATCTTGTAGTCTATGCGTCGTGACGGGCGCTTTCTGGCCTCACCGCTCGGGAAACGGTGGACTACAAGATGGATATACTATCTGTTCGGACGCGCGCCTCCAAGGAGAACATATAGTATTAAGTCGGTCGTGTTCCTCTACAGCAGGAACATAAAAAACATGAAAACTATGATTTATGTTGACTGTATTTCAAGATCGTTGTTGGGTCTGTTTTGTTTTTCGTCCAAAACCCGCCTGTAGGAGGACATGCCCGACCTAAATATAACACTAGCATTAAGTCGGGCGTGCCCCTCTACAGGGGTGAAGATCCAAAGATAGTCCAGAAATAGATCGGGGATTCTTTTGTTCGATCGTGTTTGGCCACTTTCCGTATTTTATGGGGGCATTTCCCCCCCTTGTCCAGAATCCGCCTGTAGGGGAACACTCCCGACCTAAACCCAAAGTTAAGTCGGGCATGTCCCTCTACAGGAGGACAATCCAAAAATAGTCAAAAAATAGTCAGGGGACGATTTTTCAGTATTTTTTTGACCTTTTTGGGGGTATTGTTGGGGTATTCTCTGTTTTTCGTCCAAAACCCGCCTGTAGGAGGACATGCCCGACCTAAATATAACACTAGCATTAAGTCGGGCGTGCCCCTCTACAGGGGTGAAGATCCAAAGATAGTCCAGAAATAGATCGGGGATTCTTTTGTTCGATCGTGTTTGGCCACTTTCCGTATTTTATGGGGGCATTTCCCCCCCTTGTCCAGAATCCGCCTGTAGGGGAACACTCCCGACCTAAACCCAAAGTTAAGTCGGGCATGTCCCTCTACAGGAGGACAATCCAAAAATAGTCAAAAAATAGTCAGGGGACGATTTTTCAGTATTTTTTTGACCTTTTTGGGGGTATTGTTGGGGTATTCTCTGTTTTTCGTCGAAAATCCCCCTGTAGGGGGACACGCCCGACATAACGACAGCACCAGCCCGTCTTTGTGCCTCCCAGGCACCGCCGGCAGACGGTGACGCCCTGCGGGCGGGGGCCCCGCCCGTGGGCGCCGTGCCCGGGCCCGCAGGGCTGAGAGGCTGCCGCGCGGCCAGCCGCGAGCACGCGGGGAGCGGGGGCAGGGCTTGTTCGCCCCCCCTCCTCCTTCTCCTCCTCCTCCTCCTCCTCCTCCTCCTCCGCCTCCTCCTCCTCCTCCGCCTCCTCCTCCTCCCACCTCCTCCTCCTCCCACCTCCTCCTCCTCCTCCCCCTCCTCCTCCTCCTCCCACCTCCTCCTCCTCCCACCTCCTCCTCCTCCTCCCACCTCCTCCTCCTCCTCCTCCTCGACCACCAAGGGTACGGTTACGCGGGGGTGTGTTTTGCGATCGGCACCGCTAGGGCCTGGGGGGCACGACGCTGTCCTCGTCGGGCCTCCCTGGGGCGCGGCGGAGAGCTCCATCGGGGTCCTCGTCCGGCCCCCCTAGGGTGCCCCTCAGGGTCCTTGCTGCAAGCCACACCCTTTGTGAACCAGACCTTTCGGAGTCGCCCACTTGTGTGGTGGGAGTCGGGGTGGTCGAGGTGGATGCATTAGGATGAGAATCCTGGAGGCCTCGCGCGGCGCGTAATAGTAGTATGATCTAGTCCACACGTCAGTTCCGTAAGCTATGGGTCAACGCTCGCGCGGCGATGATCCAGTGTCAGTCCGACGTCAATCCGACGTAGCCCGAAGTGAACCCGACGTAAATCCGACGCGGATCCGTCGTAGATCGGGTCTCAGGATGCCGCGCAAGGCCTCCAGAGTTTTCCTCATCAGATGCGGAAGCAGTGTCGGAGGAGGAAAAGAAACCCATACCTCGAAGGAGAAAAAACGCGATAAGCATAAACTTTTGGCGCTCCGCGCGGATCTCTTGGATCCGCGCTGGCCCCCCCCCCCCGGCGGCGCCTCCAGCGCCGCCCCTGGCGCGCTCCGCGCGCCAGGGAGGGTCCAGCGCAGATCCAAGAAACTCGTACGGAGCGCCAACAAATTATGTGTATGGCGTTTCTTCTGCGTTGGGGGGCGAGGGCTGTGTGCAGGCACCGATCCTGGCCATGCCTGGCCTGGGCCCGCGGTCGGTGTATTCCTATCTTATATGTTTATTACCTGGACCCCCCCCCCCTAAACTGGCCCCCCGCCCCCCCCAGGCACGGTCCGGACGCCCTTCTGGACGTCTCGGCGGCCCCCTGGACGCCCTTGGCCTTGGCAAAGGTTCGGTGACCCTTCCGGGCCTCCCAGGGCGCCTTGCTGGACCTGGCGAGCCGACTCAAGGCGATCAGATGGGTCGTCGGAGAGGCGCAAGCGAGACCCGAGACAGCACCAGAGCGCTCCAAGAGGAACCTCGATGGTCTGAAGACGGCCCACGAGGCCCCCAAGACACCCCAAGAGGCCGTTAAGAGAGCCCCGAAGAAGCCAAACATCGTCACAGTCCCTCCATATATATATATATATATATATATATATACATACATATAAGCAAGACTGCATTGGCGCTTCGCGCCATGCGCCTTGTTCCCGACGCTTCCCTGGCAAAGCAATAAATCATCGCTTTCTTCAGCAAGGAGGACTTCGAGGCCTGGACGGGCGACCCGCCCATTTTTCCGATATCCTGGGTGCCTGCTGACGCCGCTTTCGGACGATGCTCTGGCACGCTTGTGCGCAGGAGTGGGGGAACCATGCTGATTTTTTCGCGCGCGAAGGTCCTTTGAGGAAGTAAGGAGCGTTCCCATGACACGCCGAAGAAGTCACAGTAGCTCCGAACACATCGATTTTTGATCGCTTCCCGAATGCCTGGAGGGCTCCAGGCACTCAGGAAATCTTCGACCGTCGAATTTCGAATCTAGATCCATTGCCTGTCTCTCTCGATCGGGTAGCTACTGAAACCTTGAGCCTCGAACGTGGAACCGAGATCGTCGGGTCAGCTTGATGCATTTCGTAGGAGAACGCCGTCTGGTCGTTTTTGGTGCTCTTTTGTGCCGTCCTGGGGCACTCTTGGGCCGTCCTGGGGGCTTCTTGGGCCGCCTTGGGGAACTGGGGCCCTCCAGAGGTCTTCTGAAGCCATCTAGGGCCCTCTTGCGGGCCTCCAGTGGCGTTCTTGGAGGTATCCCATGGCTTTCGTGGGTCTCTCTTGGGAGCCTTTGGGGGCATCTTGGGCTTCTTGCGGGCAGTCTCGGGGCTCTCTGGGGCAGTCTTGGGGCCCCTTGGGCCGCCTTCAACCCCTCTAGGGGGCCTCCCGGGCCGTCTTGGGGCGAGATTGGGGGCCCATTGGGCCGTTTTGGACGCTGCGAGTACCCAAAAAGCGGATATGCACAACAAATGTATTTCCTTAGGGAATGTGACGATTTTGGCTTCTTCGGGGCTCTCTTAACGGCCTCTTGGGTTGTCTTGGGGGCCTCTTGGGCCGTCTTCAGATCATCGAGGTTCCTCTTGGAGCGCTCTTGCGATGTCTTGGGTCTCTCTTGCGCCTTTCCGACGACCCCTCTAATCGCCTTCAGTCGGCTCGCAAGGCCCAGCGAGGCGCCCTGGGAGGCCCGGAAGGCCACCGAACCTTTTCCAAGGGCGTCCAGGGGGCCGCCGAAACGTCCGAAAGGGCGTCCGGAGCGTCCCTGGGGGAAGGATCCGGTTAGGGGGGGGGTCCGTGGGGGGTGTGGGGGGTTCCGGGTAATAAAAATTTAAGAATATATATATATATATATATATAGAGAGAGAGAGAGAGAGAGAGAGAGAGAGAGAGAGAGAGAGAGAGAGAGAAAGAGAGAGAGAGACAAGATTGCATTGGCGCTTCGCGCCATGCATCTTGGTCCTTGAAGTTTGGTGTGCAGGCGGAATAGCAGGAAGGTCAAGCCGACAATTTACCGATAACTCTTTGTTGCCTTTTCCGGCATCGCCACTATAATAATGTTAGTGATCCTTCATCCATGCTTCTTTTTCTTCATTTTCGCCATGCCCTGCGCATTCTCCCCATCCTCCGCAGCTTTTTTTTGCGGAGGCTCCTCCTTGGAGAGCCTCTGGGGGCCTCACAAAAGTTGTTTCAGGCTTTCTCAAGGCCTTCTGGAGGCCTCCTGGGCGTATTCTGGGGGCCTCTGGGGGCTTCCTCGGGCCACCCTGCCTCCAACCGCGGTCTCCCGGAACGACCGGTTCACGATTTGGAATACTTCGGAGGGTGTCTTGGGGCCATCTTGGGCCGCCATGGGGCTCTCTTAGGGCCATCTTGGACCCGTGTTGTGCCGTTTTGGGGCTCTCTTAGACTGCCCGGAAGCCCTTTCGGATGGTTGTGGGGCGATTTTGGAGCCTCCCAGGCGGCTTCGGACGCCCAGAAGACCGCCGTCTTGGAGCGTCGGGAAGCCGAAAAGAGGAGAACCCCCAAATTCACCCAAAACCAATAGAAAATCAATGATTTTTGCCTTTTGGGGTCTTCTTGGGAGTGCTCTTGGAGGCCTCTTTGGGGCCGTCCTGGAGGCCTCTTGGGCCATCTGGAGGTCACGTCGGTCACTCTTGGAGCGCTCTTGTGCTGTCTTGGGGGTCTCTGGGGCGTCTCCGATGACCCCCCTGATCGCCTTAGGTGTGCTGGGAAGGCTTGGCAAAACGCCCTGCGAGGCCCGGGGGGCCGCTTCGAGGCCCGTCCAGAGGGTCCCTAGATCCCGGGAGTCCGTGTTTCCTTTTTTTTTGGGGGGGGGGACCCATTTTCGCGTTCCGCCAGGATTGTAAACATATATAAAAGGGAATGTATGTTTACTTATTTACACACACACATACATGCGCCGATCCCGTGCCCAGGCCGGGCATGGCCAGGATCGGTGCTTGCGCATAGCCCTCGTCCCCCGACGCACGGCATCATGACACACGCGAGGCGGGAATGAACAATTCATGCCCGCCGCCTGGATAACCCGCCATGTTGCCCCGACCTCAAAGTCTCCGTCAAATGGGTCCTGCGGGCACTCCACTTTGTGCCCGCTGAAGTCCGCGCCGCTGACGTCTGCGCCAACTGAAGTGCGCTCCCGTGGAAGTCCGCGCCCAATGATGTGCTCGCACTGCGAAGTTCGCCCCTGCTAACGTCGGCGCCCACTGGCGTCTGCGCCGCGTCGAGCCTGTGTCCACTGACGTCCGCGCCCGCCCACTGAAGCTTGCGCACGCTGATGTCTGCGCGCGCTGGCCTCTGCCCCCAGTGACGCATGCGCCCGATGAGGTGTGCGCCCGCTGAAGTCCCCGTGCCCGCGGGGGCCGGCGCCAGTTGGGGCCTGCGCCCGCAGTCGCGCGAGCCCGGCGAAGCCGGCGCCCGCTGACGCCTGCGCCCGCTGACGCCTGCGCCCACCGGCGCATGCGCTCAGTAATTTCTGCCCCGGCTGAAGTCTGCGACCTCTGAAGACTGCGCTCGCTGAAGCCTGGGCCTGCCCGCGCCAAGGCGCCCGCTGAAGTTGGTGGCCGTGGAAGTTTGCGCCCCCTGCATTCTGCTCCCACTGAAGTCAGCGCCCGCTGGCGTCTGCGATTGCGGACGTCGTCGCCAGCTGGAATTCGCTTCCTCTGAAGTCCGCGCCCGCTGCAGCCTGCGCCGCGCTGGGGCCCCGCGTCCGCTGAAGCCCGCGGCCGCTCGAAGCGCGCGCTCGCCGAGATCCGCGCCCAGTGAAATTTGCGCCCGCTGCCAACCCTGGCTGGATCCATTTGGTACGGGGTCCTGCGAAAATCTGGCCACACCTCCGCCCTCGGGCCGTCGTCCATGCGGCCGTCGTCTTCTCTCCGCCTTTCGGCGTCGTCTGATTTATCCATTTGGTCTCTGTTTTTCTCTTCGTGCTTTCCCCTGCTCGGGGGAGAAAAAGATACGGATACGTGTTGTCTCCCTTCATTTTCGGCCTTTCCTGGTCCTCCTGGGGAATCCTCGTTGTCACCGCTGGATTCGCCTCGAAATTCTGGTCAGAACGCACCCCGAGAGAGGTCCGGGGACAACACGTATCCGTATCTTTCCGCCCCCCAACCTGCCCTGCCGCCTTTGCCGTTGTCGCGCGCTCTTCAAGCACTCGTTTTTCTCGTTTGCGCCCCCCTCATCGCGTTCAAGCTAGGTGGCATTCGCAAGTGGCGTTGCGCGGGTGGCGTTTCGATTTGTGGGCGCGCATTTCGGCGCGCACGCGCGTGCGACGACGGCTCGAGCGACGGTCGTTGCACGGTCCGCGCGCAGGGCTGCCTCGTTGCCGTGCCTGGGCGCGCCCGAGATTTCGGTTTTGACGCCAGCTCTTGACCTTACGTGCAGGCCGCGCATCGCATCGAGACTCGCCTCCGACTCGTTTCCCGGCGGTGTTTGGTGGCGACCCGCCCGGAACCGTCGCCGCAAAGGTTAATGCGCCTCTGTCGCCGCCTGGCTTCACTTCTGACCTGACCCACAAGGCGCACACAAATGATATGGCGAGGAGAGAGTGGAGGAGGACGAGGAGGAGAGGAGGGGGGAGGAGGAAGAGGAGGAAGAGGAGGAGGAGGATATCAAGGATTATGAGGAGGGGAACAATGAGCAGGGCAAGGAGGACGAGGAAGAGGAGGAGGAGGACCAGTGTAAATTCAAGACTCGTCAACGATGTTGTAATACAGGCTTCCTCCAATGTACCTCTTCGTAAGCTCTATGCAAGGGGTCACTACCACTCAGGGATTTGCCCAGTCGAGGGACAACCGTGTGACCTTTTTGAAGAGCGCCCAAACACAATTCTCAGGACTTGTTTGCCGCGAGTTAACCTGGCTGTTACGTCTTGGCGATCCTAAATCGTGCCAGAACGCCCTTCCTGGGATTTCAACATCGCGAATCAACGTAACCGTTGCGCCCTGACAGTCCTGAATCGTTCCAAAAAGTTGTTTCTGGTACGTGAACCAGGAGAACCAGTGAAACTCTTGCAAATGTTTAAGACGAGTGTGCGCGGCGGTAATGCAATAACCACATGGTGAAAAAAGGAGCAACCCCCAATCCGTGGAGGCCTTGTGCATGTTTAAGACGAATGTGCGCGGCGCTAAGGCGAGCGCCACATTTGAAGACAAAAACCAATTCCGTGAAAGTCTCAGATTTTAAGAGCGAGTGTGCACGGCGCTAAGGCGAGCGCCACATGTTGAAAATCAGCCGCCCCCAATCCGTGAAACGTTTGCAGTTTTTGGGGGCGAGTGCGCGCGGCGCTTACGCGAGAGCCACATTTTGAAAACGACCCGCCCTCAATTCGTGAAGGTCTTGCAGATTTTTAGAGCGAGAATGCGCTTCGGTCATGCGAAAACCGCACTTTTTGAAAACGGCCCGCCCTCAATCCGTGAAGGTCTTTGACATTTTTGCGAGAAGCTGCGCGGCGCTAAGGCGAGAGCCGCATTTTGGAAGCGACCCGCCCTCCACCTGTGAAGTTCTCGCCAGTTTTGAAGCATCGGGGGCGTCAGCGGTGAGGCAGTCTCGGGTGGAACGCCCGGCCCGCCTCTTCGACCGGCCTTGGGGTGCGACAGGGAGGAGTTCTCTACAAGGACAAGGAATGGATGAGGGCGGGGCCGACAAGGGGGCAAAAAGCGCGACCGCCTCGGGGTCCGCGGCGAGCGCCTGCAGCGGGCCGCGGGCCGCGGGCCGCTTCGCCCTCCGGCCGCCCGCAGACCGGGCCGCGAAGTGCGCGGGCCGCCGGCGCGGAGGCAAAGGCGAGCGTTGGCCTCGGCGCCGCGCCGGGGGGCGCGCCGCGCCCGTCCGCGCGTCCGCGGCTGCGTGGCGCGGCGGCGACGCAGCGCCCCTCTCCCCCGAGGAGGGGGCGCGTCCATAGCCGCCGCCTTGGGGGGCGTGGGTCTGGATACGGGAAGCACCGCAGCCATGACCACCACCGGCCGGCCGAGGAGGGGGCGGACCTCCACCTGGCGGTGGATGTGTGGATATGGATGTATCAAGGTCCACCGCCCGGCCGGGGCACCAGGACGTCGGTTCTGAGGCGGTGGATATTGATACGTCCCCGAATCGCGATTCCGCTTCGGTGTTTCCCCCGACGGGGGAAGCGACGACGACGACGACGGCGACGAGGGAGGCGACGGCGACGGCGAAGCGTAGGCGGCGACGACGACAGGGGAGGCGACGGCGACGAGGACGGCGGCGCCGACTGGGACGGCGACGGCGGCGAAAACGGCGGCGTAAGCATAAACTATTGGAGTTCCGCGCGGATTCCCTGGATCGGCGCTGGACTCCCTTCACTGGCGCGCGGAGTCCCCTTCCATGCCGTTTTCTGTGTCTCTAATGTCGGTACTCCCCCCCATCCCCCCCACTGTGCACTGCATCTTTTTGCTCCGCTTCCGGTGCTTGTTCGATGCTGCACCGTAGGCAATTTTGCCCGAAGAGCCACGGGGGGGCTTAACGCGTGTAATGAGACGAACAGGGGCTACCTAGGAAGGAAGCCCACGGGAAGCTAGTAGACAAGGAAGTCCACTAGGCACAGGAAGCTAGTAGACACGGAAGTCCACTAGGCAAGGTTGGTTCCGCCAGCCTCAAAGCGACATTGGGGCTCAGGCGGGGCAGCGCCCGGTAATGCTGGGAAAGCTGGTTGAGCTAACGGAAGTCCAAGCAACATCTGAACATAACGACGAAGGTGTGTGTGTGTGTGTGTAATTCTGAAGCACGTGCCCATCTTGCTGCCGAAGAAGTACGAGCCCGATGGAATTCGTCGGCACTAGAGGGAAGGATGACCATGGCGACATCGACGCTGACAGCACAACTGCCGCGAAAGATGTGTAACGGCACAACAACTGCAGACCGTCCGAGCTGCACACGCGTGCACCGATAGCCGCAGCGCAAGCGAGCAGGCACCCGAGTTCACCGCTCAGTGGGGTTGCCGCCATTCGTCCCACCGCGGCCAGCATGGCAAGGCGTGGCCCTGCGTTCGGCAGCAGGCTGGTTCCGGTGCGTAGGAATTCCTAAGGAATCCGATGGATTTCCGAAGGAGTCCGATGGATTTCCAAAGGAACCCGATGGACTTCCCGAGGAACCCAATAGATTTCCCAAGGACTGATTGCCGATGGACGAGAAGCCATTCCTCCAGCGCACAAAGTGTGGCAACTGGACTCGTCATGACACCGTCAGCTCCGCTACGTGCGAGCCCCTCGGGTAAAACTAGTCCTGCTGGCTGCGCAGGCGGTTCAGCACTTGCTGCAGGACTTGGTGACGCAATGGCGGGCGCTGCGGCCACCATCAGAAGAAGAAGAAGCGCCTTCAGGAGGCAACTCATTGGGAGCCCGCGCGGCATCAGCCTTAGCCTGCTGGGCTGCCTTGCGGCGCTCTTTCTTCTTCGAATGTTGAGCGCGACGCGCAGCGCGGAGCGCATCCAACGGCTGTGCAGGGTCGTCGGTCTCCGTGCCAACGCTCTAACGCCAGCGGCGACGTAGACAGCGAATCTTGTTCAAATTGGAAAGGAACTGCTATCGGATTTCGTCCCTATTCTTTCCCTAACGATTTTGATCGTACCGAGTCGCCGCTGTCCGCCGCCGCCGTCCGCCGTCGTCGTCCGCCGCTCGCTCATCCGCGCGCGCGACCGCCGTCGCTCGCTGTGCGCGGGATGCGCATTGCGCGGAGGCGCTTGGCGCGGCCTGCGGGGAGGAGGTCCGCGGCCTCATCGGCAAGGAGATCTGCGGCCGCATCCTCTTCCTGATGATGTGAATGATGATTAGGACGGCAATGACGAAGATTGGAATGATGGTGGTGATGATGACGACGATGTTTACTGTGATGATGATGCTGATGATGGTGACGATGGTGGTGGTGATGGTGGCGGTGGTGGGTTATGGTGTTGATGGTGATGGTGTTAATTGTGGTAATGCTGATGATGAACGTGACGATGATGATGCTTATGATGACGATGATGATGCTGATGATGATGGTGATGATGCGGATTATGTTGTCGAGGATGATGATGATGGTGGTGGTGGTGGTGATGATGCTGAGGATGATGCTGATGAAGGTGTTAATGATGCCGACGACGATGACGATGGCGATGATGCTGATGATGATGATGACGATGATGATGGCGACGATAACGATTATGATGGTGCATATTATGAATATGACGATGCTGCTGCGGCTGATGATGCTGCTGATGATGAGGCGGATGATGATCACGACGAGATGATGGTGATGGTAATGGTGATGACGATGTTGCTGATGATGTTGGTGCTGCTGCTGATGATGACGATGATGATGACGATTGTAGGGATGATGATGAAGATGATGCTGATGATGATGATGATGATGCTGATGATGATGATGCTGATGCTGATGATGATGATGATGATGATGATGATGATGATGTTGATGTTGATGATCATGACGATGCTGACGCTCATGCTGATGCTGATAATAATGATGCTGATGCACATGATGACGATCGTAAAGGTGATGGTGATGACGATATGGTTGGTGATAATGCTGATGATGACGACGACGGCGATGACAATGGTGATGATGCTGATGACACTCATGGTCGTACTAATGCTGATGATGAAGACGATCACGACGATCTTGTTGCTGATGATGGCGGTGATGATGATGCTGACGATGTTTAGTTTGCGACTGCTGCTGCTAATGCTGATAGTGATTTGATGATGGTGATGATAATGACGATGACAATGATGATGACGATGACGATGACGATGCTGATGATGATGATGATGCTGCTGATTATTATTATCATTATTTTATTCCCAACCCTCCTTGGTTGGGTATTCGTTTTGAATAGAGCAGTGTGGTCGCGTCCCTTCTCCTCCCGCCTCTTCCTGTCTTGCCTGCGGGGGGCTGCGATCTGCGAAACTATCGCCATTTTCGAGGCCTGCTGGGGGGCCCAGCACAGTGAGGGCCACGCGCGGATTCAAATTAGACCTCGCCATCCCTGGGGGGCTGCGATCTGCGAAACTGTCGCCATTTTCGAGGCCTGCTGGGGGGCCCAGCACAGTGAGGGCCACGCGCGGATTCAAATTAGACCTCGCCATCCCTGGGGGGCTGCGATCTGCGAAACTGTCGCCATTTTCGAGGCCTGCTGGGGGGCCCAGCACAGTGAGGGCCACGCGCGGATTCAAATTAGACCTCGCCATCCCTGGGGGGCTGCGATCTGCGAAACTGTCGCCATTTTCGAGGCCTGCTGGGGGGCCCAGCACAGTGAGGGCCACGCGCGGATTCAAATTAGACCTCGCCATCCCTGGGGGGCTGCGATCTGCGAAACTGTCGCCATTTTCGAGGCCTGCTGGGGGGCCCAGCACAGTGAGGGCCACGCGCGGATTCAAATTAGACCTCGCCATCCCTGGGGGGCTTCCGAAACTGTCTGTCGCCATTTTCGAGGCCTGCTGGGGGGCCCAGCACAGTGCCACGCGCGGATTCAAATTAGACCTCGCCATCCCTGGGGGGCTGCGATCTGTGAAACTGTCGCCATTTCGAGGCCTGCTGGGGGGCCCAGCACAGTGAGGGCCACGGGCGGATTCAAATTAGACCTCGCCATCCCTGGGGGGCTGCGATCTGCGAAACTGTCGCCATTTTCGAGGCCTGCTGGGGGGCCCAGCACAGTGAGGGCCACGCGCGGATTCAAATTAGACCTCGCCATCCCTGGGGGGCTGCGATCTGCGAAACTGTCGCCATTTTCGAGGCCTGCTGGGGGGCCCAGCACAGTGAGGGCCACGCGCGGATTCAAATTAGACCTCGCCATCCCTGGGGGGCTGCGATCTGCGAAACTGTCGCCATTTTCGAGGCCTGCTGGGGGGCCCAGCACAGTGAGGGCCACGCGCGGATTCAAATTAGACCTCGCCATCCCTGGGGGGCTGCGATCTGCGAAACTGCCGCCATTTTCGAGGCCTGCTGGGGGGCCCAGCACAGTGAGGGCCACGGGCAGATTCAAATGAGACCTCGCCATCCCTGGGGGCTGCGATCTGTGAACCTGTCGCCACTTTCGAGGCCTGCTGTGATCCCCGTTTTCGAAGTGGCTAGGAGTGCTCAGGAATTGTAAATCATCAGCTTTATCAAGCCCTTTTCCTGTAGCCAGTGTCCTGCGAGTCTCCCGAATTCCGTCTGCAGACATATGTAACCCTCGCTCCGTCATCGCCCTCTTATAAAGTATCCTAAACTATTTGCGCCCCGCTTTTGCGCAGGGGTTGGGTACGTCGCCAGGGTAATTATTTTCATTATTATTATTATTATTATTATGACTATTATTAATATGCTGCTGACGATGCTGATGATGATGATGCTGATGCTGCTGCTGATGATGATGATGATGATGATGATGACGATGCTGATGATGATGATGATGATGGTGGTGGTGGTGATGATGATGCTGATGATGATGATGATGCTGATGCTGATGATGCTGATGACATGATGTTGATTGCGACGGCGATGAGGATGGGGATGGACGGGTATGGGGATGATGAGGTCGGTTGTCAGCCGCCATTTGAAACACATTTGGAGATGGAGGGGGTGGAGGAGGGAACGGGAGAAGTGGGAAGTGGGAGCTCGCGCCTTGGACATGATTAGGAAGGTGAGGATGGTGGTGATGATGGCGGCGATGATAGGATGGTGACGAATGGTGGTGGTAACTGCGGCGACGAGGATGATGCTATCGATGCGGACGAGGACGATGATGATGGTGAAGATGAGGATGACGGTGTTGGTGGTGGTAAGGCTGCCGATCCAGACGTCGTCCAGGTAGCACAGGGCAGGGGGAGCAGGAGGGGATGGCTGGGGAGGAAGAAGAGGTGGAGGACCAGGGCAGACCCAGGTGGCATCAAAGACGGTGTAGCACACCCGCCCGTCACAGGGCACGCCCTCGGGAGTCCCCGCAGGCCCGCCGCTTCCCTGCAGGAGGAGCATCCCCCCCTGCAGAGACCGGGGGCCCCGCTGGCCTGCCGCGAGGGCGAGAGCCCTGCTCGAAGAGGACCTGCTCCGAGGAGCGCGCCAGGACCAGAATTACGATGCTGATGATGATGATGGTGACTTGATGATGTTGATGATGATGCTGATGCTTATGATGATGACGATGATGATGATGATGATGATGATGATGATGCTGATGATGATGATGATGATGATGATGATGATGATGGTTATGATGATGCTGATGATGATGATGATGCTGATGGTGATGATGCTGGTGCTGATGCTGCTGCTGCTGCTGATGATGATGATGATGGTGGTGATGATGATGATGATGCTGGTTATGATGATTGTTATGATGATGGTGATGATGCTGATGCTGATGCTGATGCTGATGCTCATGCTGCTGATGATGATGATGATGATGATGATGATGATGATGATGATGATGATGATGATGATGATGAGTAAGAGGAGGAGGAGGAGGAGGAGGAGGAGGAGGAGGAAATCGAGGAGGAGGAGGAGGAGGATGGTGGTGGTGTTGATGATCGTGATGATATGAAGGTGTCATGGTGATGATGGGGAGGACCAGGACGCATTAACGATACTGCAGGACGCTGCCAGGCAGAGATCGCCCGACAGTGAACGCTTCCGCGTCTTAGTGCCCCCCCTCCTGTCCTCCGCGGCCGCCTCGCCCCTCCCTGTTCCCCCTCTTGCACGTCGGTCAATCCGCGTTTCGGTCGCCCCGGGTCGCCGCTTGCCGGCGCAGTCCCGCCTCGCCGCTGACGTAAACGAGCGTGTTCAGGCAGAGCACCGTGTTGAAAGGGTTCGCCCGCAATCCGCAGGACGCGCACGTCACGGCGCACATCGGGTCGTGATTTGTGCGGAGGCCTCGAGCGAGAGCGCTGTTCTGAAGAGATGCGCAGCGTTACACGTCGAGTCGTGATTCGTGCGAAGGTCTCAAGCGAGAGCCCTCTTGTGAAGAGAAGGAGTCGCCCTGCATGTAGCTGTCCCAGAGCTCCGATGTCGTGATGTTTTCATAACGTGGACCCCCGGAGGTCTGGAATCCCTTCGCCGGGACAAGTCTTTCGTCCCGCGTAGTTTTTCGGCGGTCCCCGTTTTTTGGCGGTCCCTGGGACTTTTGAGGGCCACGGGACGTCGAAAATGGCTCGACATTACCCGCCGTTTTTTCTTTTCTTTTTTTCCCCGAAGCGGTAAGAGGTTAAGATGTGTTGCACGCCAGGCCGGAAGCTTCGAGCGGGTCTTAGGCGAGATCTCTGGTCTGAAAAAGAGCCACCCGCCGCAACCCCGCCGCAGTGCCAGCGCAGCACCAGAAGTGTACGGGGGGTGGTTCTGCCGAGCGGTTCCGAGCAGGCTCGGCAGGACCACGTTGAGGCCCCATGGCAGATTCGAAGAGGGAAGCGCGCCACAGGAGGAATTTTGGGAGCTCCGCGCGGATCTCTTGGATCGGTGTTTGGCCCGCCTGGAGGCGCCTCTGGCGCCCTCTTTTGCGTGCGGGGATGCGGCGCCGATCCAAGGAATCCGCGCGGAGCGCCGAAAGCTTTGTTTTTTGCTCTTCCGTCTTCGAAACATCGCTGCGTTGCTGTGCCCTGCTTGTGGCCGTGACGTTGCACAGTTCTGGCGTTGCTGGCGTGAGGCCTTTCAGGAGTTCCCTAGAGGCTCACTCGAGGCCTCGGGTGGGGGGGTCTCTTCCGGGCCCGGTCCTGGGATCGCTCTTGGGCGGCGTGGTGGTTCTGTCAAGCTCTCCCAATAGTTCTCGGCAGAGCCGGGGGGCCGTATGGAGTGATCTTTCGTCTAGGCCTCTCAAGGGAGCGACGCAGCCAAAGTGGGTCGTCTTCGCCGACGTTCGCGCCTTCGCCAACGTTCGCGCGCAAGCTGCTCGCGTAAGGCCGCGCGTAAGCGCTCTCGTTTCCAATTTGGCGTGCCGCGCTGGCGGCCCGCGTATGCCGCGGCGTGAGGTCGCTACGTCATTTTGCGTAAGACCCGTTTCTCTTAGTCGCCCAAGTGGGGTCCGAGGGGATGGGGTCGAAGTACGCGCCGCATCGCTAGTGCATCGGCGATGCGGCTCACTGTGGAGCCACATTTTCTCCACGTCGACGTCGCCGATGCATCGGCGATGCGGCGTGATCCGCCGACCTATCTACTCTGACCCCATGTGGGAGGCCAGTGGGAGGCCTCTATCCAAGGCGTCTCGTGACGGTCTGGGGCCGTCTTGGGAGGTTCCCAGGCCATCTTGTATCCCTCTCAGGGGCGCCTCCTGGGGTTTGGCCGGGCATGCTGGGGCTTCGTCGGGGCATCCTGCTGCCTCTAGGGGGTTTCTTTGGGCCGTCGTGGGCCTGTCTTGTGTGGCGGCCAGTCGCGCTCAGACGCCGAGTGGGCTCAAACGGTCTATTTTTTCAGCAGCCTGCTATGTGCTCTGGCGTGCCGAAACGTGTGATTGAATCGCTTGCCTGGCACTTCCACCAGCTTGTCCCAAGTGGCTTGTATCGGCGGCGAGCGAGGGGGGGAAGTGAGAAGGAGAAGGCCTTCTCAGAAGGCCGCGGGACTTTTGAGAAACTCTCGTGCTTTCCGAGAAGTTTTTTGCGTCTTCGGGAAAGGCTTAGACAATTTCTCAGAAGGCCGGGGGACCTCCCAGCCTTCTGAGAAGTCACGCTCCTTCTCGCTTCCCCCCCGCGCTCGCCGCCGATTGTATCTCAGGGGCAGGAGGACCAGGGAGAGGTGCGCCCCATGGGGGGGACACCCGCAGAGGAAGGCTATGCACCTCCGTGCCTGACCAGGACCCTCGTGGGCCTCCTCCTCCTCCTCCTCCTCCTCGCCCTCCCATTCCTCCTCCTCGTCCTCCTCCACAATTACTCAACATGAATACTACTCTCCTCCTTCCCTGATGACGGGTTGGGAGTGTTCGCTCCCCCCCGCGTGCTGTTTTTTTACACACAGGATTCCCAGGAGTTGGGTTTTCGCCTGCATTTTTTTCAAAATGCTGCTCTCGCGGAGGCGCCGGCCTCATCTTCGGGCCCCGCTCGTTCCGAATCGTGCTCCCGCTGCAGCGCTGGCCTAATTTCCGTGCTTCCGCTTGTTCCGAATCGTGCTCCCGCTGCAGCGGTGGCCTCATTTCCGCGCTTCCGCTCGTTCCGAATCGTGCTCCCGCTGCAGCGCTGGCGTCATTTCCCGTGCCATGCCACGGCATGCAATGCAATGCTAGGTTGCGTTCCGCTGCGCGATGCCATGCCTTCAGCTGAAGCTGTGATATGCAGTGCTTAAGTGCCACGTCGTGCTATGCCATGCTACGCTTTGATCTTCAACGCCATGCTATGCAATGTTATGTTCGGGGCCGCTGTGCGATGCCATGCTTTGCGTTGCAAAGCTTTGTGATGCAATTCTTCACTACGCCACGCCACGCCATGCTGTGACATACTACGCTTTGCGGTGCTCTTCTACGCCATGCCATGCCGTGCTCGACAATGCATCGCGTACCCTTTCGGGATCATTGCCCTGCTCGACATCCGACTGTGCGAGTAGAGAGGGGATCTACGCCATGGTAAGGGATGGGAGGGAGGGGTAGAGTGTCAGATATGACGCGCGCGCACCTAGCTTACCTTCCTCCCCCTCCGCCTCCTCCGCCCCCTCCGCCTCCTCCTCCCCCTCCTCCTCCTCCGCCTCCGCCTCCTCCTCCTCCTCACTGGGGCGGTGTGCAGGCCCTCCCTGCCTCGGCCAGCACCGCGTGCCCACAGCTCTCCGGGGCCCCGGGAGGGCCCCGCTGTCTCCAGGCGCCGTGCCGCGACCCCGCCGACACCTCGCAGCGCAGCGCCAGTGCGCCGCGCGCCGCGCGGGCGCTCGGCGCGGCCTGGCGCCGATGGCGCCGTGAGCCCCTCGGGCAGGCCGCGGCGGCCTCTGGCGGCCATGGGCAAGAAGGCCTACGTCGGGCATGTCCCTCCACGGGAGGAGTATCTCAAGAATGAGGAGAAGGAAAGGTGCCCATACCTCTACTCTGTCCTCGTTTTCCCCGTTTTGGGCCTCCTCGGAGGCCCTCGTCGCCACCGCTGGATTCGCCCTGAAATTCTGGTCAGAACGCACCCCGGGAGAGGTCCGGGGAGCAGCGGTATCGGTACCTCCTTGGTGTCCCCAAGCGTAGTCAACAAAAAACTCTGGGGACAACGTTGCGCCCATTCGATTGTCTTTGCGTTTGTGTTTGACTATTTGTTTTTTCATTTCAACATCCGCCTGTAGGCCAAGCAGTGGCGAAGCGTCCTGGCTTGCCTTGATGCCCACCAAAACGTGTTCTCAGAACATTTTTGTGGTCTGCACGAAATGTTCTTAGAACATTTCTGGCTGGGAACGACTTGTCTTAGCACGTCGGGCTTCTGGTCCAAGCACCTTGTGTTTGTCCTTAGACCATCTTTGGGTTCTGGGAACATTCCGTGATAGGCCTACAGGAATGGCGGGACGGTCGGTCCCCGCCCAATGCGGAGGACCTGCCCGACCTAAAAGAAGGCTCGAGTAGAGGATCGACTACAGCATTGAGTTGCCCCCCAATTGGCTTTCCCCCTCGGAGCTGCGACGAGCGCGCAGCACGCCCGTGCCTCTGCTGCAGACTCCGAGCACTTTTTCCGCAGAGATCCGACGAGAGAAATCCACTCTGGGGCAAAAATCGATTCTGTGGCCGATCCCCTCTGGGGCAAGAATCAATTCTGTGGCCGATCCCCTCTGGGGTAAATCGATTCTGTGGCCGATCCCCTCTGGGGCAAAGATCAATTCTGTGGTCGATCCCCTCTTCGACAGGCGCAGGGCCAGGGCGCCAGGGGCCGCGGCGGCGGCGGCGGCCGCAGGCGGGCCGGCCCGCGGCCTGCCGCCGCTGCCGCCGCCGCCGCCGCCGCCGACCGCGCCCGCCGGGCACCGCCCTCGGCCGCGGCGGCAGGCGCCCTCTCGCGCCCGCCGCCGTGCCGGCCGCCGCCGCCGCCGCCTGCGCCGCTTCGTCCCCCCGCCTTGCCCAAAGTAAAACGGCGCGAAGGTCGGGACAAAGTCGGATCGGGATAGCTCGAAATCTCTGAGAATCGGCGGGTTTGGAGGATGTATTGGGCGCCGCGGCCGCTCCAGAGCGTTCCGGAACGCTCTGAGAGCGCTCCGGAACGCTCTGGAGCGATTTATCCCGATCCTAGCCCTGTTTTATAAAGAGGCCTC